TGAAGGTGAGCCTCCAGACCCTTTCAAGAGAGTAGTGTCCCCTCTGACGACTGTTCCTGGATGGTCAGTTGATGCCATCAAGACGGATCTCATGCGCGTTTTCAACTTGGGCTTTGGTGGTGACATGTCCTCTTCTACCATCATCCTTCTTGTTCGTGAGGGGTGGATCTTTCAGAGGCGAAGCATCGACAAACGCTTTGATCATGCATACGAGAAGTTCTATGACTGGTGTGTTGAAAACAAGAAAACGACGTCCGTGCCATCCTTTGAACTCAAGAGGTTCAAAGTCACGCACCTTGTGGTGGTATATCGAGTTGTTTTTTACTTTGTTTTGTTGAGGATCGTTTTGTTGCAACTGAGATTTCACCATGTTGCAAACCAGCTTAGGCAAAAAAATCAGTTCCCCAAGGGATGCGGTAAAGCTTTTGACACCGCTTTGCTTTGCAAATGGCTCATGAAGGAACTGCAGAGCACTGATTTGGAACCTGGGTACTTCTCAGCGGTATTTTGTTTGAGATTCCACGATGTTGCCCTGGTTATCCTCTGTTATGATTCTTTTGCTCACTAAAGGGTCCCAAGTACTGTCCCATACCCCCCCTTTCCAATTTCAACCTCCAAAGGAGTTGGACGGTGAAGACCAGAAGATTTTGGAGCTGCTGCGCTTTGCCTTTTGTGTGACCAATGAATTCTTCCACTTGCTCTATGGTGGAGGCATATGGTTGCCCCGTGAAACTGCACAAAGGGCAGTGCAGCTAGGGTTTTCAATCGGTGATTCTTGGTACGAATGTTTGGTGTGCACTGCACATGCTAATTGAACTGCATGTGATTGAACTTGAGTGGTAGCCCTCCAAAACTTAGGAAGCCTATGGTGCACTAGCACGCCTCTGTACCAACCGAAGGTGGAAGTACTTCAGAGTTCGACCGAAAGAGTCTTGATTAGAATTCTGTTGGAATACCCCTTTGCTTGTGCACGCAATATGCTAGCAAGGTAGGAGCAGCCAGGATGAACAACATATGTGCTAGCTGAGGTACACATGTTTGTGCATGTAGTGCTACCTGGCTGAACTTACCTGCAGTTGTGATTTGGTATATAAGATCTCTCCTACAAGGCTTAGTTGCCAACGAACCTAGGCAATCGATGAAAGTTGAGCTCAGCAAAGGATGTGATCAAGTGAGCAACCCTCTACTATGGAGTTGTTGGACCGACGAAGACTACATCGGCCGCAATGCACGGCTCAGCCGTCGTGTAGGAGCTCATAGGTTGTTGGTAGTTAGGACGATGACTAGATCACTGATGCAGTACAAGCGCCACTTTGAAAGGAGCTAGATGGTGGGTATGGTGAGTCTCACTTATTGAATCTAGAAAAGAACACTTTCACCTCTTCAAGTCCTGATCATGTTTGTTTTGGAGAAACTTGACACTGGCCCGGATTGAGCTCCTGGCATCTTTCTCGTCCACGTCGATGAAGAGCACGTGTGGCGGACTTGTGAGAAGACAAGAGAACAACAGCCCGAGCGGTTTTTGGGAAATCGAGCGTTTTGTGATGACAGGGCATCTCAATGGTTGTCACGAGCAAGAATATATCGGTACAATAATTTTTGTATCAATGGAGGCTGTAGGAAATTGGAAGTCTGAATCATTTTGCTTTTTCCCGGCCCGGGAAAAAGCAAATTGGAAGTCTGAGCCTTTTGCTTTTTCCAGGCCCGGGAAAAAGCAAATTGGAAGTCTGAACCATTTTGCTTTTTGCCGGCCCGGGAAAAAGCAAATTGGAAGTCTGATACATTTCCAATTGCTTTTTCCCGACCCTTGGAAAATTCTTTGTCGTGGGAAACTGCGCAAGTATGGCGAAAGGTTCGCATTGTGGACGCGAAAGACGACGGGGCCAAACCCCACCCCACTCCACTCTTCTTGCTGGAAGCACGCGCTGGACACTCCAGCTGCAGATGCACTCATAGCATGCCCACAAGTGCAGGTATGTGAGGTGAGGGTATGTGAGGTGAGGTGGTTGGTTCTACAGCTGTAAGTGCGCATACAACACGGTCGGTGACTCCAGCGTGCGGTTCCAATTTTCTTTTGTAAAGCCTGGAAAAAGCATGTTTTTCAGAGAGCAGTGGCCTAATGGATAAGGCGCCAGGCTCATAAGCAGAAGCTCGTGGGCTCGAATCCCACAGGCGCTGCTTGTTTCCAGGCCGGATTCCAAACTGCAAGTCTGATACATTTACATTTTGCTTTTTCCCGAATTGGAAGTCTGAGCCATTGGAAGTCTGAACCATTTTGCTTTTTCCCGGCCTGGAAAAAAGCAAATTGGAAGTCTGAAACATTTTGCTTTTTCCCGGGCCGGGAAAAAGCAAATTGGAAGTCTGGCCGTTTTGTTTTTTCCCGGCCCGGGAAAAAGCAAATTGGAAGTCTGAACCATAAGCAAATTCGAAGTCTGAACCATTTTGCTTTTTCCCGGCCCCGGAAAAAGCAAATTCGAAGTCTGAACCATTTTGCTTTTTCCCGGCCCGGGAAAAAGCAAATTGGAAGTCTGAGCAAACTGGCCTGACTGAGCCGTCTCTTGTTCATGGAGGGTTGTGCCCAACCAAAAACACACCAACATGAAAACTGCTTGGTTGGCTGGCTTCCTGTTCCTCAGCAATCAATGTGTCAGTGATCAGAGGACACAAGACGTGCCAGGGCAACTGCATGAATCCTTGAAAGCCTCTAGCCCCAACGAAAAACCATTTTCGCCGACAGTGGTAAAACCCCACGCGCGAAAGCTTGCGAAAGCTTCGCGAAGGTCCTGCGAAAGGCCTGAAAAAAATGAAAGGACTTTTGAACAACCCCCATTTGTTTTAGAGCCTCCGATGGCCTCCAACCTAGCTTCTTGCTACTACTAGTGGTCTCCAACCTACGAGCGGCCTCGAGTTCGTCTCAAGAGTCAGAATCATTCGCGCCTAGTAGTAACAAGTGCCACGCTACTAGGAACAGGCGCCTTACTAGTAGTAACAAGAAGCTATTAGAAACAAGTGCCACGCTAGTAGTAACAGGTGCCTTATTAGTAGTAACAAGAAGCTATTAAATAACATTTTTCACTTTACATACTCCGATCGTAGCGAATCATTCGAGTTAGCGTCCGATCGCTCCGTTCGTAGCGATGCCTTGTGCTCCTAGTAGCTTCTTGTTACTAGTAGTACGGCCAGGAGCCCCTAGTAGCATCCTTGCTTTTACCGTCTCTTGGACATCAGACATAGACGAGAAGGTGGTGTCTGCCTTCGGGTTTGGTTGTCTTAGTTGTCTTCTCTTTTTCATTGTTTCGATTGCAAAAATAGTGTGTGATCAAAGCAACTCGTTCTGTGCTTTCCTTCAATCTCAGACATGTCTATTTTGTTTGCTTGTCTTTTCTACCTTTCTCTAGTCTTCTCTAAAAACCTCTATTCACACGGCTTCGCGGCGAAGACCGCCCGCAATACTTGTGCTCGCTGAGCCGGGTTGATGCGTCCCCCTATTACCCGACGGTGCGTCTTAGGTGCCAACTACGCTGGTACCTATCTTAGGCGTGTTGTACTCAATCAGCCTCAATAGGGAAATCCGCAGGTACAAACACGCGCACGCTTTCAATGATGCAGTTCTACTCGGGCAGCATAATTCACATTATCAATAGTTTTCTCGTTTCTCTTTCGGGAAGGCCACAGCGGCAAGCACGCACGATGTCAACAATGTATTCTCACTCGGGCAGCATAGCCGACATCAGCAATGATTCACTTTCTGTTCAAAAAATCTAATTAGGTGACTAACAGCCTCAGCCAAGCTGAGCACCAGAACCAGAAGAAGGACAAAAACAGCACGGCCAGCGAAAACGGCCAGCGAAAACAGCAGCACAACTGCAGGACTCAGGGTTGGCCAGCGGCCAGCGTGGCCAGAGGACAGCAGCAGGAGAACTGCCAACAACAGGAGGAACAAGATTTGGGGCGCGGCCAACCACTGTGGCCGGCCTACTGTTTGGGGAACAAGGAATTGTTTTTTCCCCGAGGTGCAAAGCAGGGCTCAGAAACTCTTGGTCTCCCTTTGTTGTCTTTCTGCTGGTGTCCAGATGGCAGCGCGGCAGCATGTAGACATGACAGCGTGCGCATGCGCGCGAAGCACCATCCCCAAGCGCAAAATCAAAGGGCCCCACGCAAGAAATTGCAAGCCTTGCCACACTTAGTGGGAAAGCGACGGCCGGAAGCGGGAAGGCCGCAGCACCACAGTATGGTCACGTGGCAGCCCGTTAGCGTGCAAACATGACGCAAGACAACTCCAGACAGCAACCCTGGAAGCCAATGTCCTCTCCTTGTCCTCCTTGTTGTTCCTTGCAAGGTTCTTTCGTAGGAAAGAAGAAGCTGGCCGCAGTGTCAGGCCGCGCCGGCGAGCCCTGTCAAGATGTCCCCCCTTCTTCTCTTGTCACAATCTTTTCGGTCCTGTGCTCGTGTTCTTTGATTGCGGACGCTACTAGGGGCTCCTGGCCATACTACTAGGAACAAGTGCCTTACTAGTAGTAACAAGAATTTAATTAGAACTGTAATTACTAGCTTCTTGTTACTACCAGTAAGGCACTTGTTACTACTAGCGATGCACTTGTAATTACTAGCAATCTTTTCGGTCCTGTGCTCGTCCTGTTCTTTGATTGCCTTGCTGTTGCCCTTCTTCATTTGGTTCGTTCTCCTCTTGGCGGCCTCCCCTCACGTTGTCCTGTTGCCCTTTTGGCGTTGTCCGGTCGCCGTTTGTCCTTCTTTTGCCCTCTTGGCGTGTTCCTTCATCCTTTGTCGTCTATTGTCCTCCTCTGGTCTTTCTGTTGTCCTGCTGCCGTCTTGCTCTTTACGCTGCTTTCCGGGGCAGGGGCTGGCGCTGCGGCCGCCCACCATAACAACAATTCTTACCGACTAAGCTGTTTGGGGCCTATGCGGGTAAAAGCTGGGTATGATATTGTAGGGATGGTTGGGGTGTAAGATCATTCATTGCTTGTCGTGAAAATTGCCAGGACGCCTTGCCACCTCTCGAAGCTCTGTCGCGGCCTCTCTGTAGCGACTGGCTGCTGTCATGTGCACAGCCAATCCGCTTCACGGCAGGCCGGTGATGGCGGCAGCGCAGCGGAAAGCTCTTAAGGCTTGCAGCGTGTCTCGTGCGTCGTAGATCTGCAATGGAGCGCGAGATGTCACGTGAACTTGTTGCGTCCTTCGTTCTGTTGGAGAGCCTTGGCGAAAGCCGCGCTTGCGCTGCGTGCTCAATTTGCCGCATGCAAGTCAACTGGCGAGTTTCGCAACTCACCCGAGTTCCGCATTGCGAAGTCCTTTGCTACTAGTAGCTGGAAACTTCCTTGGGAATCGTTTCACTGGGAACCGGTTCACCTGCAACAAGAAGCTACTAGGAGGTCTTTGAAGCTACTAATAACAATAATTGTTTAAAGTATGTCTTTGAAGTTTCTTAGTAACTAGAAGCTACTAGGTTGGAGGCCATCGCTACTAGGAGCAAGGACGCTACAGGCAAATGCAGGCAACACCAATATCAGACAAGAAAGCGTGTGCGCAAATGCCACAAAGTCGTGCTTTCGCAAAGAAGCCACGAGTGAAGCAGGCACGGTGCTGACACTTCAGGAGTTGACAGGTTTGGAGCGATAAAGCAACCACTGCTGTACAAAATAGAATCGAGTTGGTTTTCAAGTAGGCGTGTAGTGTACCATACAGTTGGAAAGTAGGAGCTGCAACCTGAGCTGCGAACAGAATGCCGGAATTGTTGAGTGCTTGTAGGTTACGACGCAACATCGTACAAGGCGTGAAGTTAAGTCCTATCTCCTATGTTCAAGGTGTATCTTCTGAGCGCATGTTTCATCTCTTGATGTGTGCAAGCGTGCCTGGTGGTGTTCGGACTGCCTCTTATGATGGAAATGCAATCTTATTTTTTGCATGCCACTAAAACCAGTGTTCGCTTGGAGGCCATTGCTAGTAGGTTGGAGGCCATCGTTCTTAGGTTGGAGGCCATCGCTCGTAATTAGTTTGGAGGCCATCGCTAGTAGGTTGGAGGCCATTGCCATTAGAGGCAGCGATTCCATGCAGTTTGACTTTCGCTTGACGTTCGTGAGAGTCAATCACAGGGAAACACATTGTCTTGTTTGTTGTGCACTCATGTGCGTAATAACAAACTCGTTTTTAAAACGTCATCTTGTTACTAGTAGCAAGAATGCTACTAGTAGTAATAAGCTTTGTTACTAGTAGCGATGCCCTTGCTCCTAGTAGCTTTATTGTTTCTAGTAGTATGGCCAGGAGCCCCTAGTAGCATCCTTGCTCCT